ACAGCACACACAGTGAAATGTGTTCTCTGCTTTTAACCCATCCTAGTGCCAGGAGTCTAGTAATAGGAGTAGTGGGCAGCTATTGTGCCGCGCCCGGGGAGCAATGGGAGTGAGGGGGGAAGGGGGATGTCCGGTGCCTTGCTCAAGGGCACTACGGCAGGGCAGGAGGTGAACTGGGACCTCTCCAAGTAGCAGTCCACACTCCATATTTTAGGTCTGTTCGGGGACTTGAACCAGCGACCCTACGGCTCACAGTCCAAGCCCCTACTGACTGAGCCACTGCCGGCATATATATACAAAGGTAAGTTAAAATGACTAAATTAACTTTATATATATGTTTTCTTTTGTCAGATCAAGACCACAGACAAGACCTGACAAAAACATAAACGTGAAGAGCCATAGGGTTAAATATGTTAGTATTACAGGCAGGGACGGACTGGGTCTATTGAACATAATTTACACAAATGTACAACATGTTATGTTAAGGTTTGTTGTGTGTACTTTAAATGTACACCCACCTGTAGACCACAATAACACAGCAACAGAGAGAAAAAAGTAATCCTCTGTAAGAGTGAAAGCAGTGTGTTTGTTCACTCTCACTCATCCATTTCCCCTTCAAATTCATCCTGGTATCGATTTCTGGCTCCATACTATTTTTAAAGAAGACCACGACCACTCAGCCGTAACCCTTTAGCCTGTAATGTCTGGACGCCTCACAAGTACTGCGGTAATTGCTCTTTGTTATACTTACATGACAACGCAAGGGTATAACTGGGATTTCTTAAGTCCTTTTGATAGTCCTGCAGAGACCTGTTTACAAAGAAAGGTCCTCAAGGGTGTGAGTTGTTCTCAATTACTGTGACTCAACTTGAACTATTAAGAAACACGCATATTAAATAGTTATTCAGTGTTGCACAGCCTGTTCTAAAAAAGCAGTTTAGCCTGTAGCAAACTTGGCACAGTAACATGCAAAGAAAACTAGGCACAGAAAGGAGATTTAGTTTGTATGATATATAGTGGTACGTATGTTTCCCTCAGGCTTTTGAATGCTTAAAATGGACTAGTTGTGACACACCATCAAATTGTAGAATCAATATTTTGCTCTTGATTTATAACGAAGCAACCGAAAAGTAGTTTAGGCCAGAGAATTGATTGTTCTCTCCCAACAGCTCGAAGGTTGTTACTGTAAAGTCGCTGCAGAAAGTACTTTCAACAAGGTTATCTGTTTATCATTACATAAGACTAGATTAAAGAGGGGAAATGATACTGGATGACACAGATCTGTTAAGAAACATGTCTGTTTGTGGTAGAAAATACACTGACCTGATCGTAGGTGATTAAAGTCCCTACTTCCGTTGTAGTTTCAAGACCTTGGTTCGCGGAGGACACCAAAAATGTCCCAGGAAAGACAATATAAACGTAACTTTTGTGCATTTTTTTTTTTTTAAAGGTCCCATGTCATGGCCATTTCTACTGATCATATTTCCATTGTTGAGGTCTACTAAAATAGATTTAAATTGTGCAATTTTCCAAAATCACATTGGTTTCTCATACAGCATCTCTGTATAGTATGTGTATTCACTCTCTGTCCTAAAAGGCTTGTTGGAGCTCCTGCCTTTCTGTGTTAGAGTTTTACTCGCTACAGGGTGTACTTTGAGGGTTTGTGACTCAAGGTCCCATGGGGTCAGATTATAATTTTCCAAAGGGGGGTTCGTTTAGCATGAAACACTTGAAATAACTAAAGGATAAGTTAACAAAGAAAGTAGAAAGAAAGTGAGGTCATAGAAAACTATTTCTGCTGAANCAGAGGGAATCGATCTCTTTCTCCACCCAGCCTCCCAATAGCCACGTTCACACCGCAGTACTTTTCCCACTTTAGTTCCGATATAGTTCCGAAATGTCGCGTTCACACCAAAAAGAGCCGGAACTAAAATTAGTTCATGAGAACCTTTTTACCCCCTTTTCCGTTCCTGCTAGAGAGCAGAGACTTTCGTGTGAGAAAAAGGTTCCTATTTCTGATTGGCTGGGCGGATTGCAAACCACGCCCAGTCAAACTAAAAAAAAAGTTTTGTGAAGCCGCCTTTTTATTATCCTCGCATTAGCATTATTAGCATTAGCATTAGCCCAGCGTTGAAACGCAGAGAGACTAACTTATGGCAACACAAAATAAAACATGGGAGTTGTGGAGATGAGGAGGTGTCGGCGTTCTGGAGATTTACTCGGAAGGCTTCAGTAGAAGCTGCTGGGAGTCCCAGCAGCTTCTACTGAAGCTCCCCAACTCCGGGGACTTCCGGCCGGGGACTTTGGGTGGCAGTATACGGCGTGAAGTTGTTTGCGGCCTGCCAGTAAACCCAAAGCAGAAGAAGAAGAAGTGACGTCAGCGGCTTCATTTGCCTAATCCACCCCAGGGACTTATTCCGGTGTGAAAGCGATTAACTTAGTTCATCAAACTAAGTTCTCATGAACCTTTGTGGGAAAAGTACTGCAGTGTGAAAGCGCCTAATGTGAACGGGACCGAACAGCTGGGATGGGGGGAGCCACCATCTCGCAAATCATTTGTTTATTTAAATGCTTTTTTTTTGTATTTGCTTCCTATACTCTTTTCAGTTTATCCTAGTCTCGGGGCTAAATAAATCCTAACAGTAGTTACAAATATATCCCAAATAAATTCCAATCACTCCAAGTCCTTTGCCCTTGTCCCTTACTACCCCAACCTTTGATACAAGCAAGATACGGAGAGAAGCAGCGGTGTAACGGATGTTAGGGAAGCAGACAGAGCAGAGAAGACGGCCTTCAACTGGAGCTTGTCAACCTTTGCACTAAATGTCAATCCCACCCCATCACAATTCCTGAGAGGATGACGCAGCGACAGTCAGGTCCGTGTGGGTCCTTCAAAACCCCATAATGTATATGCTTTACGAGTCAATAGAGAGGCTAACAGCTATCAATCTCTTTTTCCTCTCACCTCTAGGTGTGGGTAATAACTCACTCACTTTCATCTAGTGCCACCAGCAAGCTGCTTGTTGTGAAAAAAACAGCTATCCAATGGATTGCTTGGACATTTAATAATAATAAAGCTTTATTGTTAATATAGCACTTTTCATACAACACATGCAGCTCAAAGTGCTTTACAAAAAGACACATCACAAGTTAAAAATAAACAATACATTCCCCTCAGATTATTTGTTAAGAACTTTACAGATACATGCAGGA